TGGTGACGGGGTGCCCTGGAGGGAGCCCAGCGCTGCAGAGCCTTGCTTACAACCAGCCCTCCTGCCATTTAGCACACTGTGCCCAGGAGCGGAGGGGTCACAGGGGTGAGGTGAAGAGCAGCAGGCAGTGGGGGCCCCTGGCAGAAACACGGCTGTTGTCATCTTTGGGGAAGGGCTTTGATGCACCTGTTGCCTGTGACAGATCAGACGTGGCTTGCATGTTGGTCTTGGGATGGTGCAGGCCATGCACTCGGCTTGCAGGAAGGATGCAGGACTGCCTGGGTCTTACTCCAAGATGTCTGCACCCATCCCTGTTGAGAGCAGGTGCTCGGGATGGGTTGCTCAGCCTCTTCTGGGCTTTTCTCCCCACAAGGCTGTGTCCGGCTCTAATGGAGAGGGACTCCCAAAGGGCTGAACCAAGCCTAGAAGAGCATTGCGGCTCCAAGCACTTGTGCTGCCCTGCTCCTCCCTACCGCCCCAGCCTCTCTGCTGGGCTCGGTGGGAGCTGGCAATAGCTGAGGAGTCCTGCGCTGGGGTCGCACGCCTGGGACTGGAGACCGTGGGACCAGATCACGTCCTGGTGCTGGTCCGAGCCCCCAACTGCTGGGCTTCGTGCTGCGCGGTCCCTCTGGCAGCCTGGGCTCTGGGCTCGGGCACCCCTCGACGGACTAGGCCCCCTTGGAAAAGGCCAGCTCTGAGTTGTCACTTTTTTTTTTTTTTTTACTACAGAAAACTGATAGCCTGTTGCAAACATCGGGGACTGAGCAGAGGGGCTTAGCATGAGGGGGTCCCCTTGGCGGTCTTGAGTTTATCTGATGAATCGTGCTTGCTTTCGCTGCAGCCTGAGGATCCTGACTGAGCACCTCTGAGCTAGCAGCCTGCCTAGGTAAGAATGGCTCCTGGATGCCTTCAAAGCGGTAGCTGAGGCCCGCGACTGCAGTGAGGAGAGACCCTCCGGCCTTCCTTCCCCGCCCCGGACCTGGGCCCCGAGACTGAGGGTGCTCGGGGTCTCCCTTCCGGCTCCCGCACGCGCCCGACCCTGCTTAGCTTCGGCCTGGCTCGCAGCCCCCCGCCCGCGGGGGGAGGGACACAACCCCCGTCACGCCGTTGCTAGGCAGCGCGGCGTTGCCCTTCGACCCCGCGGCGCCCCGCCCCCGCTCCCATAGCTACGGCGGGCGGCGGCGGCCATCTTGGCGG